CCAGCCCGCTGAGAAGCAACTGCTGCAGCAGCCACAGCACCACCGCAAGCAAGGACAGGTAGAGCACCAGAGGATGGCGCACTTTGTGCCCGCGCCATTGCGGCATTGGTGCCCCGAAGGCTTGGGGCATTGGTGGCTGATGGTGCCGCAACAAAAGCATCGGAGGCAGCATTCAGCAGCGCAAGCCCACCAGCAGCTGCACCCGCCAAGGCCATGTTGGAGGGTCTCTGCATCTTCTTGCGTTTCAAGATTGCTCAATGTAGAACGATGAAAATGCAGGAACCAACAGCTTGAGCCAATTATGCCATTATGCGCAGTGTCACAACACCTTGCACCACAAAGCAAGCATGCCGCATGCCCAAAAAAGAAGCACACACGCACAACATCCATTACTTGCTTCTACTCCGAAAGTACGGCGCGGATTCATGTGCAGGTAAGCATGGGAACCTGCAACTTGTCTTGCAGCTTCTCCTGGATGTCCAGCAGGTGCTTTACCTGCAGTTTGGTTGCGGAACTTACCCTGCTGAAAAGAAACGCACCAAATAACAGAGCAGCAAGACACAAAGTGGCACAAAAAGACCTGCAACGGGCCCGAGCGCTGCCGCCGAACCGCTGCTTGTCGAAGATCGTCCACGAGCCTATCCGAGTCGAGGCCCTCTGGCAATGCCATGGTGGAATCGGCCGGTGAGTCGGCGAGCAGCTCGAGCTGAGACAGCACCGTAAACGATCCAATCGGTAAGCATTGCAGCCATCAGCACTTTTGACAAAATGGTCTTGTTCCATTGCTTGTCTTGCTTGGCTTTTGTTTAAATGTTGTTTTACTTTGTATTTATGCATATGTATGCTTATTATGCCTTTCTTGTTTCTTCCGCTGGCGGTTGATGACCTAGCCTGCACCTGTTGCTTCGTGAGGCAATCTTGGAAGTTCTCGCATTGTCTCAGAGTTAAGGTGGCACTGAGCACGTGACCACCAGAACTGTTCGGCCTCAAGCAAAAATGTCCAGTCAGTTTGTTCACTGCTTGCAGTACCCAAGGTCAAAGCCAAACACTTTCCGCCGGAGACCGTGGAGAGTGCCTCACGGTTGAAGGTCAGCAAGCATTAGTACGATGCCCTTATGACCTGACAAGCTTCATTCCCACAACAACGCTTAAACAAGCCTCCGTCTGGATTTGTGCAGAAATGTTATCTATAGAGCTTATGTCTTGGCTGTCAGACTTTGTTCCGCAGGTATCCTTGCATCCTGCTCTCGAAGAAATCAAGGGGCCATTTTGTGCCGTTGGCGTCGATTGCCCCACCATCTTGAGTGGCAGGTCTCCTTGACAGCTTTCGCTGCGGACCATTGAAGCCAACTAATGTTCAGGGAGGAGAATGCTTCGTCTCGAATGTACACTGTCTATCGACTGGCTCACCACAGTCCCAGAAACTGGAGAAGTGTCATACTATCTCCTCTCAGTTGGCTCAACGCTCATACTGGATGGCGGCGCGCGTTCCCGGCTCCATGATAGGTTTTATGAGGTCGTTGATGACCTTCACATGCTCTGGGTGCGCTGCATAAGCCTCGTAGGCCTCCACCGAGGGGAAGTCGGCAAACCAAGTGCATGTGCGGTTTTTCCCCGCTGGGTGGCTTTGCCCGCTTGGCAGCTTCAAGTCCATGCCAAACCTGCCGATTGATTATCAATCCTCCAATGTCAATACCTACCTTCAATCCAACTAGCTTATCAGTAGCTCGGAACGCAGCACCCACAGGCAAGGAATTGTGAGTCTGATCGCGCCGAACCTGCCAAGGATACAAAGAGTGTTACCACGTCTTACCTGCATGCACACTCCGACTAACAAGCATGGAAGTGGAAACCATTGGAAACCACCCTGTTCGTAAAGGAACATACTCATGCCAGGGTCCATTTTCCACTTCCGTGACAGTGAGTCGGAGGGTACCTGCCACATGCTGTCCCTTCTATAATGAGAAGCTACACAGATCCAATATAAAAAAATAGAAATCTGGGAAATGACATGTCAGTCATCTCACTCTCTGCTAAGAAGCTCAAAGTCCAAAATGCCACAGGTGTCTTTCAGCGCCGCCAGGCCCTCCTTCACCGCCAAGATCTGCTCAGTGCTCGTGGACTCTTTCACGCCAATCATCACCACATGTCGCAAGCCGCGAGAAGCTGCACTCATCATCACCGACACGCGAAAAGCGAGGAGCTCAGACCGAGCGCTCTGCTGGGAAAGCAACCAAGGCACGATGGTGCTGATCTTCGAGCCAAGCGCACCGACTGTGAGTTACATGCAAACCGCCTTGCGCTCTGAGGATGAGCAAAACCGATTGGACGTTAGTGGCCAAGTAGAAAGAAAGAAAGAAAAGAATGTTGCGAATGGACTACTACCATGAACATCCGTAACATCCGCTGCTGCTTCCAGTTTTATCAGAATCGCCAGTGAGCTTCCCGAATCCCGCTGGCGAGATTTGCCAGGATGGTCACATTGTGGTTTTTTTTTCGATCTACTTTGTGCTATCCTACCAAACTGCCTGTCATTTCATTCAGGGGCAAGTAAGGAATCCTCGTGCGACTCCTGAGCAGAGGAGGCACCAAAATGCACCAAAGCCAATGAATCTAGGGAAATAGCTGCATAGCTTGCTTGGTCAAACAAATTCAACCAAGCCAACAAGTAATATAAATTTGCAAACCGCCGAGTTGATCCGAGTCGAAAACATTTAGATAACCGACATTGATTCTCGGCCTCCTCCCGGGTGGCACCAAAGAGCGCACCAGCTGCTTGAAGGACTTTGAGGATGAAGTCAATCAGAGTCGCAATCCTCATGTTTCTGTGGCTACACCAACTTGTGACATCGAAATCTGACATGTGGAAGGCATGAGCTGGTTGGTTCTTTGCTGTGCATCTTTGCAGGGAGTTCTAGGGAGCAAGGCGCACCCCAACCAACAATTGGAGCGCGCAAAGAAGACGAGTTTTGTACGTATAGGCGGCTGCGGCAGCTGCTCTGTAAAACACAATAAGGCCATGGCTCAGATTTAGAACTTTGATCCAGCTACCCTCATCCAGCCCCTCCATCTCGAAAATGAATACACAAACCAGCATGATCACCTCGGGGTCTCCACGGTTGTCTGTCTTGGAGAATCATGCACCGTCTTGCACGCCTCTTGGATCAACACACACACACACATTGTCACACACTGTCACACATGGCTACAACATGCGCCCAAAATTGGTGCGCAAACGGTCTAGAGCCTAGAAGAATTACAGTAGGCTCGCTCTCAGAGGCTCACATCTGCACAGCCTGCAGCCATCGAATAGCAAATCTCAGGGCCATGTTGGTCCAGTAGCTGGGACGTCGTCATGAACAAGCCTGCCTTGAGCGTCAAGCGGCGCACGGTGGCAGTGGCAATGGAAACCGAAAAAGTCTATACATCTCTGTTCGGCCCTACATGGTGTGGCTCCAGACGGGGAGCAAAGAATGCCAAAAGGATCACCACAGTACCCAGCATCGCCGACATCATAGCCAGGCCTTGCACCACCTGAGGCATGCTACAAATGCCTGAGTTGTTCCCCAAACAAACCCCCGCTATCCTCTGCTATTAATTCTTCATTGCTTCGTCTTGAGAGAGATTTCACAGTGTACCACTAACACCTGGCAGGTGAGATTCCCAGCGTGGTGTCTAAGTGGCTCACAAAGGATGCACCCACATCACCAGTGTACTGCCAGAACCACCAGGAGGCGGTTTGATCGCAAACATCCCATGCAAAAAGCACCGTGAAGTAGAGCACGCTGAACTTCCTGCTCGACTTGGGCCAAATTAGTCACCCAAAAAAGGGATTATATATCTGCATATGTATGCACACACACACACACGTATTGTGCATGTACATATAAGAGTACATATTACACGTGAAATGGCCTTGACAATCAATGAGTGTGTCCTCTCTCAAGCGTGTCTCTGTCTCTGGTGCAGAACAAGATTTTCTCCCTTGACGGGCCAGGGTCCTGCGTCGACTGAGACGTTCCTTCTGACAGCGTTGACCCTGCGCCCAAACACAAGTCAAGCCCGTGAAAGCGAAGATCAACAGCCTGGGAATTGGCTTCCGCAGAGTCACAACCCATTCCGACTTTCCACAGGGTCACTGACAAAACCCACAATCGACTGGCAAGGAGCGGCACCAAAACATTTGGGTACCAAAGATCCACATTGCAGCAGGTCAGCAAATCTGTGGTGCTGCAGTAGCCTGTGGCATTGCTTGCAGGAGCGACTGTGAGTGTTTCAACAGTTAGCACAGCTACAGTCTGAAGCTTTTGGGGTTTCTCCACTGTGGCCGCTGTCCCAATTCAGGAAGCCCTTGGCTTTATATAAACAAATCTCGTGGGCTCTGCACGAGTCAGAGCCTGAACAAGGCCTCGCTACTAGGAGCAAGGGCATCGCTATTAGTAACAAGAAGCTACTAGTAACAATCAAAGGCATCGCTACTAGGAACACCTGAACACGGCCTGAAACTTGCATCCATTGCCCATGGGCAAACTTCGCTCATCTGGGTGGCCCCACCAGCGGCGCAACTGAAGTCCTGAGCTCTGATCTTCTTGGCATAGCCCTCCGGACAAGAGAAGCTTTCGCAACTGCTCAAACAACAGGTCTCGAAGCCTGGGCGGTAGGTCTCAAGAGTTGGACGTTCGTTTCCTGCAAAGGTCTTCTGTTCTGTTGGTGTTGTTGTTTTTTTCTCTGTTCTGCCCACTCCTATCCGCTCCGACTGAATGAAGTAGGCGCCTAGTTGCTCAATGAAGTGAAGAGGTAAGCTACTAGGAGAAGTTCGCTCCTAGCTAGGAAGCAGGATAGCTTATGCTGTTCATTTAATAATTTGGTTCTTAGGTATTTAGTATTTAGTGAAACTTAACTTCTGTGACATTCGGTGATTTACACAATACATTTGGAGTTCGGTGATGTTTGGAACATTTGGAATATGCGTTGCCCGTACTCAATTAACATTGACAAGCACCAAGCACCCAAGCGTGAAGAGCGATTGGAGTGTACCCTTTGAAGGGTGCCGGCTACTATCTATAGGCTGTTTAGGCGGCACCCTTCAACAAATGCATTGCATGCATCTGCATTCATGCCCAAATCTAAGTAATTATCTTAAATCGACTCCATCTATATAATGTAGTCCGGTGCCTCCAGAATGTTTTGGAAATTTGGGAAATGTGGAGCAAGTGATAAGGGTCCGACAGGACTGGTCGGCCATGGGAAGTATGAAGTCTCAATTCTATCAGAAATCGCAGGAGTCTCGTCCAATTCTTGCATCTGCCGCGGCACACGGCATATGCCTGCAAACCAGCTCAGCAGCATCATGTCGCAGCATTGCGCTTGCTGGACACTGGAAGCCCAAACACATCACTTGCACCTTGAGTCACCATCACGGTGCATCACGGTGCATCACGGTGCACTTGTCCAATCGCTCTGCTAGTGTTCACTGGTTTGGGTGCTTGTCTTCCAACTCTGTGCCAATGCAATCCTAGGGGCCGTAGTGGTCGATGTCTCCGATGTAACTGCCGTCCTCAAAGTGGCCGTGCACTACGCCCCGACCGTTCGTTTGGAAAATCCATCCGATGCTCGTGGCAAAGATATACAGTGGAGGACAGGCAGTTAGAATATAAAATTCAAATAGTTCCGGTCTACATTGATGCCCCAAACCTTCCAAAATCGATGACCCTGGGGATGACCCTCGCAGACAGAATATGGGCCTTTCAGAAAGCAGGGGAACATATTCTAACTGTCAGTCCAAAACCAGGATACCTGCAAGAGACAAAGCTAGGCCTCCAAACCTAATAGCGATGGCCTCCAACCAACCTAATAGCAATGGCCTCCAACTTACGAGCGATGGCCTCCAACCTAACAGCAATGGCAACGGCCTCCACCCTAAGAGCGATGGCCTCCAACCTAAGAACGATGGCCTCCAACTTAAGAGCGATGGCCTCCAACCTAATAGGAATGGCAATGGCATCCACCCTACTAGCGATGGCGAGCGATGGCCTCCAGCTTTAGACCGATGGCCCACCTTAAGAGTGATGGCCTCCAACCAACCTAATAGCAATGGCCTCCAACTTAAGAGCGATGGCCTCCAACCTAATAGCAATGGCAACGGCCTCCACCCTAAGAGCGATGGCCTCCAACCTCAGAACGATGGCCTCCGATCTTCCCCCTGCTCCGTGTAAAACCATATTCTAACTGCATATAGGGGAAAACTAAAACGAATTCTAACTGCTCATCCGCCATAGTATATTTATATATAACTGCATGCATTGATCACCTCGTCTCTTCATCCCTGGCTTTCGCCACCCGTGCTGCTCAGGCACATAGGTAAGAGCACTGGAGGCAATGCCACAGGCAGTTGAAGGACCGTATCACTGGCGGGGTCTATCCTGCCAGGGAAATTGTACTGTTGTGATGGCGCCGCTGCTGGTGGCAACATCTATTTCGAAGCATCGACATCAAGTCTCGACTGTTCCTTCGCTTTGCACGTGGTGCGTTCCTCTGGGACCTACAGTACGTCTTATTCCCCTGGGGTTCAACATTCCGGAGGCGAATCAGCGATCCTTCCAGGCCTTAAGACCGTTTGGGCTGTTTCGGGAATGCAATAGATTAAGCCATTGGAAGAAACAACGCCTGCTTTCCTTCCACAGGGCAGGAGGACTCAGCAAACATGCAAAGGCCAAGCAACCAATAGAAATCATTTCAATATATTTCAATAGACTCGAAAATATGCTGAAGCCATTTGCAGCTTCCATCTCGCAGGGCCCGGCTCAAAGTTTCCAAAGGTTGTCACCTCTCAGGGGGAGATAGACGGAATCCCCAGATGAGCCAATTCGTTAAATGACATGTTGCAAATGTTTGCCGTGCGGGGCAGTTTGGTGGTTCAGAAATTGGAGCAGTGTACATAGTAATGATAGAATAGAATGGCAAAGAATCGCTTCAACACTGTTCTCGGGCCTTTTCTCATGAGACAACGCAGTCCAAAGTGAAGGAATCAAGCAAAAAAGATTACACGTGCTGGTCTATATACAAGCAGAGTGGTGGATGCGGCGGATGCGTAGTTAATTTCTTGCCTGATGCCGACTGGTTAGTAGCCAAACACCGAAAGCAATACCATGTGCCATGTGAGAGGACTGACACGTGCAATGTACAACTGTTTGTTGTGATGCGCGTTGTTGTACATTCAGCACGGCCTGATGTTGTCCAGCAATCCACTACAAATAAAGTGAGAAACTCATGTGCGCCAGGCTGCCGCAATGGCTCAGCGTGGGGCTCAAAACCCGCTGCAGCCCTGAAGCCTTTTCCGGCAAAACCATTGCCTTTGATGGCCTAACCCGCTGTCCAAACAGCTTGACCTTTTTCACCTCAACCTAATATAAGCAGGCAGGTGCTCATCAAATGATGAAAAAATAGATCGGTCTTCACCCCAAAACACCCAGCAGATCCAGGTGCTCACTTGCATTTATTCACAAGCCTGGTGGCTTTTGCTCCTTACTCCTTTTTAGCTTTTATTGCCTTGAAAATCTTCATCGCAGGTTCCCTCTTCCCCCCGCTCTCACATGTGCGCATCACTGCATCCAGGATTGCAACATTAGGAAGGAGTTGATTGGCGCACACGGCCTCCAAAAGGCCCAATGCCTCCTTCCACTTCCCCCTCTTCTCACAAGCGCCAATGGCTGCACTGAAGCTCACCAAATCTGGCTGAAGCTTGTGCCTGGATATTTCTCCAAACAGTCTCAATGCGTCCCTCCACTGTGAGGCTCTGTCGCAACAAGCCATCGCTGCACTGCAGCTCACCACGTCGGGCCGGTGCTTTTTCTGCATTGCCTCAAACAAGCCCAGCGCTTGTTGCCACTGAGCCCCATTCCCATCTGTCTCACAGGAACTGATGGCTGCACTGAAACTGATCACATCAGGCTCGACTTTTGAATTCTGCATGATCTCCAGCAAACTCAAGGAGTGCGGCCACTGCCCCGGTTTCCGGAATGACCCAATAGTTGCATTAAAACTAACAAGGTCCGGCTGAAGTTGCTCCCCTGTCATTGCATGAAGCAGGCCTAAAGCTTCAAGCCAGCGACCATCTCTCTGACAGGAACTAATGGCTGCATTGAAGCTGATGACGTTCGGTGCAATTCTGGCCTGTGGCATGGTGTCAAAAAGTTCCAAAGCCAGTTGCCACTGGCCCTCCCTCTGGCAAGAACTAATTGTGGCATTACAGCTCACCACATCTGGCTGAAGTTGTGCGGCCATCATCGAGTAAAAAATGCTCAGGGCCATGTGCCACTTCCCAGCTTTTTCACACGAAGAGATGGCTGCGCTGAAGCTGACGACATCTGGTTCCCAGCCTGCCTTCGGCATCGCCTCAAATATGCTTAGAGCACAACGCCACTTGGAAGCTTTTGCACAAGAGCTGATAGCAGCGCTGAGGCTTATGATGTTGGGAGGTAGCTGTGCCTGAAGCTCGGCTCGGTCCAGGTGACCACTGACCAATCTTTTTGAGTGAAATCATGCTACTTAGGCAAATTCCACCCCACCCCCTTGAGAAAAAAATTAGATAAATCACTCTGGCAAGAGACCACAAATTAAGTGGAACTAAACAAACCAAGGATGAATGAGCGAAATTCCGCGCTCCAAAGCGCGTGCACCCACACATGAGAGCACAAACGAGAGCACACATCTGTCTCTGAGCACACATTTTTAAAAAAAAAAATAAATAAAACGGCACACACACGTCAGAGCACACAGGCCCGACATGTCACAGCACACGTTTGCATTTGGAGGTTCAAGAATCGCTGTGCCTGCCACGAAATCCGTGCATCGAGGTCTACACATAGAGCCATAGAGGTCGCACATGCCACGAAATCTGCATGTGGCACTCCACAATGTGCTGCGCCTACCGCGAAAATCTGCACAAAAAAATCACACCGCGCAGCCCTGCCAGCGCGCTTCGCAACAAAAGCACGTCGCACTCCTGAGACATTCGACATGCTAAAATGAAGATTTTGCTGCTTTTGCGCGATACTTCTCCCGAATTCTGAGAATCAACCAGATGTCAAAGTGTACGACTCATTGCGCCCGCCACGAAATCAGAGCATGCACCACCGATTCCCGTGCCTGTGCCTCCAGGTGGCTTGGTAAAATTGGAAGTTCTTTTGAACGATTTTGTTGTTCTCAAATGTTCTCAGGATGTGGTCAACGGTCAACCCGCAGGTTTTCAATATGGTGCCGGCAAGGGGGGGTAACCACCAACTCCGAAATGTGCACGGCACCAAAACGAAAGCGCACTCAGTCGAGGAAAGCACCCGCTCCGGACGTTTGTGCGGGCCCGCTCCGTCGAACTGCACGAGAGGCATGAACGTGGCGTAACTAGCATCGATTATTATATAATATTATATAGTTGAACACGCTGGTGAGTATCCGCGATCAAACCCAGAGCTTCACACCTACTGTAGGAACCTCCAGTGTGACCACACTTTTTGGGCAAAAAGCAAACCAAAGCATCCTTAGAGGGATTGAGTGTTTGATCATCGGTGAGGAAGTTTCAAGAAGCCATGGCCTGCCTTCGGCATGCTCTCAAGCAGGCTTAGAGCGTGCAGCCACTGAGCACCTTTCTCACAGGAACTGATTGCAGCACTGTAGCTGATAACACTTCGCTCCACCTTGTACAAGGACATGGCAGCAAGAAGCTCACAAGCCCTTTGCCATGACCTAGCCTTCGAACATGCTGAAATTGCAATCGTATAGTCTCTGGCGTCAAGGTTCGCCTTGGGGCTGCCCTGCAGGATCTCAAATACCATGGAAACTAGGTCTGCCCGCTTCTCTTCCCCTAAGGCCTTCAAGGTATGCGGGACCCAGTGCTTCCCATCTGCCAAAGGCCCTACGATTGCATTGACGGCATCTTTTGATGGATTGCGGCGGAGTTGGAGCAAAGGGCTTAAAGGATACCTCCAGCTCTTCGCAACCACCTGGGTCACCTTCAGGCCAGACTTCATCAGACTTGGCCATCATCCACCAACACCCACATGATCATGCTGGCCGGGGCCAATGTAGCCCAAACACTGCGGCGGGAAATCAGAATCCGCGCAAGCTTCGCTGCGATCATTTCCTACGGGTGCCCAGTTTAAAGAAAGATGCTCTTAGGAATTGGATCCTAATTCCACATATTCCACTGCCCTCCAAAAAAGTCCACATGCTGCCCTTCTTCGTGTCATGTGGCATCCCCTCATCCCAAGCCAGCCCTGCCAGCACGTCCACACGCCTGGTCATTCTGTGGTCGGATCTTCAAGACCTTCTCTGCAGACCAGGGGACACCATAGACGTCTCCGGTGTGGCTCAACACAGCGTGACCCCACTTGCCCAAGCCATTTCCAAAGTCACCTAGTTGGATGACCTGCACAAAAATGGAACACTTCTTGCAAGGTCCGATCACGTGCAAAATCCAGCGAGTGTTGCTTGGCCTGAGTTGACGCCCCTTGGAAGTTGATCTTCAACGCAGCTGTTGCAGAGAAAGGAACAGCATAGATGGCACCATTTTCAGCCACCACCGCTGAGTGCCAGCTGTGGAGCGTGTTGCCTTGCAAATTGCTGCGAGCAGCCCTCTCCGCATGCCACATCCCTTATGCTTTTGCTCGGGGCATGTCGCTGGCATGGCTGAAACGTCTTTTAAAAGGGAAGGTCGGGAAGGTCGAGAAGGTATGGAATCACCACTCAACAAACAAGGACTGCACCTGACAGAAGTGAAATGGGTGGATTCCGGAAGCCCTGTGTGTGACAACATGTGACAATTATGTGTGCCAAAAACCGTCTGATGTGGGCGCATAACACAGTTTGGAGTCCGTAAACAATGGCCACCATTGCCTTGGCAAACCAGCTCATGTGTCCTGACTTCTTCACGGACCATATCTACCTGGCCCGGAGGTTCAGAGGCATGGTAATCCAACACAAAGCGTGGTATGGACTCCTAGCAGCTAGCAGTCCTCGTGAAGAATGATCAAAAGACTAGGCAGTTGTTACTTCGACTCCTGGTGATTCAGCGCACGATATCTCAAGTTGTTTTCACGTGCATCTCAGGCCTGCAAAGTTGAACAGTCAAAGCCCGGCAAGGCGACCAGCCAGGAATCCACGGCGAGGCCTCCAGCCCAACGGGACAGGAGAATCGGCCTTAAAAGAAGCAGCGATGAGGGCACAGATTTGGGTGGGCACAGGAGTTGGGATCCCTTTAGCCAAGAGACTTGAAGCGTCCTGCAAGTGGCAAACATGGAAAAAAATCTAAACTTATCATAATTCAGATGCATTATCCTGTGAGTAGCTATGAGTACCTTCACAAACAAATCAGCAGCAACTCCAAATTGTGCGTCCTGTGGGGATATGCTCCAGCTCCCGCACAGAACGAGCTTTCGGGTCGATGCGTAAAACTGAGTCAGCTTCAACAGGAAGCGCAAAAATGATGCCCTGATTGTTGGCAGCAGCAGTTCGCCACTTACCTTCCAAATCGCTGAAATCTCCAAATTGCATCGTTTCATCTGTCCGGGTGTCGATGCAAAGAACCATTCGTGCGGCCCACGGAATGCCGCAGACATATTCATCAGCCTTCACAGTAAATCCAAACTTCCCCTTGGACGTCACAGCAAGATGTCCAAGAGAACTCACCGCGCTGGACACGGGGTCTATACGCAACACTGCTGGTGCTTGCCACGGCATGGCATAGATCAAGCCGTTGGCACCTGATATGGGAGGATATGAACACATTCATACTGCTAGGCGATTAACAACTTTTAACAACTGCTCCTTGTCTGTCCACGTCCACCTCATGAAGTCTCCTGCCTTGTGCAGCGTGACGCCACTTGCAAAATGCAGTTCCAAGGTCGTCAATGCTCACTTTGGAGGCACCTGAGACCTGTGAAATCTTGAGAACGTGATGAGCCTCAGGACACGTCAAGTCATGCCAAAACCTGGCACAACAAGGTACACACAGGGTAAAGCTTGGGTGGTGAAACAGCAGCAGGTTCAACGAGATGGATGTCCCCCTCCCCGCTGTCTTCTGGCTTTTGGTTGGTCTGGTTGTTTGATGACTCAGTCTGTGGTGGCCCAGTCTGTGCTGTCAGCACAACGTCCACCCTCTTCATCTGTCTGCTCCTTGTTATATGTGTATGTATATATAACCATATGTGTATATATATATATATATCCCTCTCTCTCTCTCGAAAAGGCAAAACCGTCAAGGCGGGCCATCAGCACACCGACACACGGCCTGAAAACCTGAAAACTGAAAACGACTTTGAAATTGAAACGTAGTAACAAGCGCATCGCTAGTAGTAACAAGTGCCTTACTAGTAGTAACAAGTGCCTTACTAGTAGTAACAAGAAGCTTGAAACGGCTTGATGCCGTAACTCACCGAGGCGCGGCGCAGGGCACAGCCCAAAGGTCCCCATTGGCTTCAAGCAGCTGGGGCCAACCACAAAGCTTGTCATGATTGTGAAGCTCCTAGGAACAAGAAGCTACTATATAGTAGCTCCAGGCATTACTACTAGTAGCAAGAAGCTGCTAGTAACAAGGCACCTTACTACTAGGCCTTCACAGCACGCGATCACCTAGCTTGCATGATAAGGTTATCCGGCTCCATTGGTCACAATGCAGGTTTCCAAGGTGAACTCGGGTAACGACTATGCCTATGCCTATGCAAGTTGTTTGTAGATCATAACCATAATGGTCACTACTGTGGATATACTGTTCCGTGTTTGCTCTGCAGCAACTGGAAGAAAAAAAAGAAAACAACAACACGTCTCCGTGTGCACATTCCCGGTCAAGGTGTCGATTCCTAGGTTGGCATCGTAGCGGGCAACTACTACTCATTGGCACATCCATTGCAACTCATCAATTTGAGGTGCACATTCAGAGAATATGAAGGCTTGAAAGCGGGATGAAAATCCATCAAATGGGGAGGCGCTGGTAAAGTGTATATAACAGAAAAGCAACACCACCGTGCAGAAGCTGATCTTTCAGCCAAGGACATGTCACAGTCGTACAATGCATTGAAGTGCCAAGGCATCTGAGACTCTTAGAAGGCTGCTATCTTGAAGCCCAAAAATGACGCCTGCATCTCCAAAAAAGTTCAAGATTGGCGAGCAAGAAGTTTGCAGCTTTTATATGTCAGAAGCTCCACTTGAATCAATGAAATCTGACCAACTATACTCCATCCGCGCTTGTTCTTCCAATGCAACAAAGATTATCTCAATGCATCTAGGACGTACAACTCCCTTTGTCTCTCTCTCTCTCTATCTCTGAGCACTTCATCAACCTGAACAAGTCAACAAGTGTTTTATATAGTTGGTTGCCTCTGGCCTGTATTCAAAGCCACAGCTATGTCAAATTCCTGCTCAGAGATATCCGCAGACAGGGCTGAAGCAGCACACAGCATGGCTGTCAACTTCATGATCCTCATGGCTGCTGCTTGGGTCTGTGCAAAAGCAAAAGCACTGTTGTCGCTTCTGTTGTCGCTTGGTCCGAGTTGGATCGGTTTCGAGTGAGTGGCCTGCCTCGTTTCTAGACCCCCTGTCAATCTATCCATCTACCAGATCCATAAGAGAACCTCACGCTAAGGCCTTATTTTCCTGGAGGGGTGCTGAAAATAACGATTGAACTCCATCTCATTGACTCTTGGCTCGAGCGGAAGCTGCACACTCGAGTCACTGGAGCCCTGGCTGATTCATTCCTGTGAGTGCCAAACAAACAAGGCCTCCCGGACTCCCCTCAGGAAACAACCTCCGGACCATTTCCAACAATCCCAACAATTCTGTCACAGGGTGTGTCTCCGGCCAGCTAGGACCGGAGTCTACCCTGAAGGATCAGGATCTAAAGGGTCAATGATGAAAGCGATCAGCTGGTGATAGGTCACCACTTCGCAAATTCAGTTACTGAGGTCAGTTTGGTGTGAAATCGATCGAAGTCTCTGAAGTTGGCAAGCATTCACTCACCACTTCAGGACCTCCACTTCACCTAATTGTACGGGGGCGCGTCATTCGATGGCTTAGCTCTTTTAGCTTGCATCGGGACCGGCCCAACATGAAATCACCATCTTGTCAGCCTCAAGGGATGCAAAGGCGCACCAATCGCAGAGAATGCTCAGATTCCAAGCATCCTAAATCGTGTGGTTTATTCATTCATATGCACGTCTGTCACGCATATCCCTCACTGAATCTTCAGGCCCCAGCTAATGGTGCTGCTGATGGCCTTGCGCACGCGTGCACGTCTGCGTCGGCGGGGCTTAGCAGAAGGCTCCTCGACAACATATCTTCAACAATATATGATCATTGATGATTCATGATCTGGTTTGCTTCTTAAAATCAACAACACTCTCGGCAGCTCTGGTCCTATACAACACACAACTCATGATTGGACATGGGCGTCCTCCCGCACATCCTCGAAGTTTTCCTCCTGGACCTCCGGGTCATTCTTTTTCGCTGCAACGTCAAGGTTTGGAGCGATGAACATGGCCAAACGGAAGCGCCACCTACAGTGTCAAAAACCTGGTTCCCCAGCAAACGTGTTATTGCCGTGTTCTTGGTAAACTCTGCTGCGGTTCCAGCTTCCCTCATTTCCCCGGGCATGGTCTCTCTTTTGTATTTGCCTACGTTTGCGAATCCATGATCCTTCAAGCTTTGAGTTCGTCAACACAAGGGCCCAATAATCAGCCAGCGGCCTGTTCAGCAGGGAGATCACAGGCGCAAATAATCGACAACCACCTTGGTCTAAACAATTGTCCCAGTGCATGCTACGGGCATGAAGGCAGTATTGAGCACAGTTTCTTGCCCATACATGCGAGTGACGTCGACAGGGGTTGCTTGGGCTCGAAAAATGGCCCGGTCTGTCGTCGGCCGCTTGGGTAGCTTGGGTCTTCAAAGAGTTCGCATGCGTCTTTTTCTCCACCGGTCCGGAGATTTTATCCTAGTTGCCGCTCCTTCCGTCTCCAAAGCTGTGTGGGCAACACCGGCCCCGAACCCAACCGCGGGCTCCAGCTGTGGACACCACCGAGCCTATCACACCACCGGGCAGGAATCCTGTAAGAAGCTGCCATGTGCCAGATAGAATGTCAAGAAAAACACCAGACTACATGCCAGGACACACAAGTCATATCAGAACAAACTTTGGAACGCTTGCCAGGGGAACTGACATGACAAAACACCACGGAACACACGCCGCAATATATGTCAGAACACATGCCGGAACAAATGGCAGATTTGATGGCAGAACAACAAAACACATGTCAGAACACGTATCAGAACTGAAGTCAGACCATATGTCACAACACATTTCAGAACACATGCCAGCAGCTTTTTCTCGGTAGTTTCAGGCCCAAACTCCACACAAAGCTTCAGTTCAATCCTTGCAGTCGTGTACCCCATTGGGTCCGGTACAACTGCCTATTCATTCAAGGCCCTCTTTTTTTGAACGCAGCCTTCAATAACCCAAACGACTTCAGTGACCCAAGTAACCTCATGGAGATCTTGGTTCCACAGCTGTGCTCGACCACAACATGGCCCAGTGGCCCAAGTGGCAGAAAGCATTCAAAAAGAACATGGGTGTGCATAGTTGTAGGAAGATCGGAAGACCCCATTATTGAAGCATTTAGTCTTGTCGAGCGCGTACGCCACAAGATAGAAAAATATACAAAAAGCTTATCCCAGCAACCTACGGCTTTTAGACCAAACATCCCAACTCTGCCCGCACAGTCTCAACGTGCTCATCTTTTTCAGCCAAAGGCTGATAAGCACTGGGCAGAAGAAGGCAGATCAATGTCATCGATCAGATCAAGAACAACTGCAAGGGATGAATCATCTGTGCTGGGGACAATTTACCCTCACAATTCGGGAGGTGGGCGGGGAAAAATAGACAGCAGCCACAGATTTCCAACAGAAACATCAAGGCGCAAGTCGACACTCATCCCTGCCTTAGAAAACATTAAGGACAGGGGGTCCCTTCTCTCCAAGAGAACCTTCGATAATGCTACATCAACAAGTTGAAGTTTGCATCAATGGGTGTTGGTTAATTTTCCTTCTTCCAGGATTCAAGGGGGTCTTTTGGAGGTCTCCATCTTGAAATGCACACCCACATAGGGCTGCTTTCAACTCTTGCCAGGTTGCCCGCCATGAACGTGGCTCGGTATCTAACCAGGAAGATGCTCAAGGACATGCCCACCCCTGCACCTGTGGGTGAACGGAAAAGAATCCTTCAATACATCCATCCAGTGATTCTCTTTCTTTCTGTCTGCACCTGCCTTTTGAATCTCAAATTGTCCTTCGCACTGTAAGAATATGGAAGAACAAATTATATGCTCTATCAAAGTATCAATCTATCAATATATCGATCTATCTATGTTTATGTCTTGTGTGTCAAACTTTCCGATTGACATTGCATGTGACAGCGCAAGCATTCCGCTTTCCTTTCCCTGCCTGTTGCTGCATCCACTGCCGCTCCGAAGATGCCACCCAAGGCCGCACAGATGGGCACAGACAAACCAAAGGTAAATGGAGCCAGGAGAAGGCCTCGCAGCTGGACCGGGACCGACCGGAACGCACTGTCTGTACACAAACACTGGCCCTCTATTCAATACGAGCATGCCTTTGCACTCTTGGGGGGGGGTTATGTTTTTAGTAAATAGTGAAATCAGCGATGTCAGTCTGTGTCCTTTAGCGCTAATCAACATGTGACAGGAAAATTTGCATTCAATGTGGTCTCAGCTGTGCTGCCCACCTGCAATAAGCCCCAGGAATGCTCCAGATAAAAGCCCAAGGAAGGCACCAACAGCAGCACATAATGGGCCTGGCGATTGGTCAAAAGCTCCCGGTGGGATCCTACATAGCACAACTTGTTGAATTCCAAGCACTTCAAGAAAGGCGTTGAAGCGCCAAGATATTGTGCAGTCATGAGTTTCCGCGAATCCATCGCCTGTAAGGCCAGTCAGCAGCAAAGCTGCCAGAACCTGGCACAAAAGCCTAAATCTGGGACTGGCCCCATCACCACCAATAGTGGAGGAGGAGGAGTAATTAGAAGAGCCTTCACGAAAAAGAATTAACTATATGGGGGGCTAATGACTTAGATGGGCTTTAGCGCCTGAAGTAACATAGGCTTTGTGGCCTTTTTTCAATAAACCTATGTCATGGTGTTCTCTTTACTCCAGACATGCCCCCAACTGGTCGAATGAGATAGGACTTGTGGAAGGCACTAGTCGGCATAGGCTCGGAAAGACTTCTGTGGTTCTTTCGGTTCTTTTATCCAAACGCTCATGACTTAGGTCTTGTGGATCATTTGCCTCTTCAGCGTTTGCATTATGACTTGGGATTTGAGGTTTTCAGGTACTTCTGCTAAATCCATCTACTGTAAATCCTATGTCTCTAGCATGTAGTATAAGTGCAAATGTGCAAAGTGCAAAATTGTCATAACTGTTCGTGGGAATGAGACTGACCCAATCTACACCTCACATGATTCCATCCGCTAAAAGAAAGCGCTCTCCTCTCCGGCCCCTGCACACACAGTCATACTCTTGGCATCTCTTGGCTACCGATTCAGCGCATCTTGGCTGCCAGCACAGCAAGCATGCCGCGCCTGCTGGGAATAGCGAGGCTTCGTCCAGCCTAGGGGCAGCTCTGCAGCAAAGCAAAAGCCACCCAGGCAGGTGCCAAAGAGAGCGCCACCTGGTGCAAAAGTGCTTGGACATTGGAAGCTGCTGTGTTGGTGCTGGTGGGTCCCAAACTGCTGGATACGAAACTGCTTATGGGGATGATGCAGGCTTCCGCCGGGATGTAGACGAGGGAGTCTGCGCATTCTCCGGCTGCTTAGCAATTCTACTAGCGATTCTGTGGAAGCTTGACGAGCTATTCGAGGTATCTTCCACCCGCACCGCGGCCTCCAGCACCCAATGCACCGCCCAGAAGGAGACCACCACAGGCTCCAAAGAAGCAACACACCTCGCCGATAGAAGCGCATTCCCCGAATGAGTCCCTGGAGTCAAGTGTGCCTTGGCCGCTCTCGACTCTTACTGTACCCCTTCTGAGTATTTGCTCCTAGTAGCGTCTTTGTTCCTAGCAGTACGGCCAGGAGCCCTAGTAGCGTCCTTGCTGTACCCCTTCTGAGTCCCCATGCCGGTGCTGAGATCCCAAAAGTCAGCGGCGAAAAAACTGCGCCAATGGCAGCGCCGGCCTCGGGACAGTCTTAGAGCAAACCCTTCTATGACTGAAGTGATGATCTGAGGAAAAACTCAGCTTTGACTCTTTGACCAAGTTGCTGCCGCGCCAAGCAGCAGCCCAACAACTGCAGAAGCTGCACTCACGTAAATGGCTGCTACTCTGGCACCTCGTGTCGTGCAGTCCGGTCAGCCAAGGAGAGCTTCCAGAGTTTCTACCTCTGTTGCTTTTGGGCTCT